TTTATTTTCGACGAAACGAGAAAATCAATTAACTTTTCGACGAAACGAGAACTAACCAATCTATATAAATACTGTGTTCCACATTGCATTAATCATGAAAATCAATATTTTGTCTTGTTTTTTTTTGACCAACTATTGATTTTCAATTTAGAAATAAAGGAAAAACTCGATTTGACATACAAAAATGATATGTATAGTTTCTAAGAATGAATGAAAAGATTGCAAACATTGAATATTAATTAAAGAAATAAGTCATTTCAATTTATTTTTGGCTATAGGAGATATGCATCAATGTTCGACATTGTCGATTTTCTATCAATGAAATTTTTCTTACGTCAATTATTGTAATGAATATTTTTCTCCTTCACTATCAGTTTGAAATTTTATCACTTCTAGCGAAAGTTTTTATAAAGCCTCAAGAATCTCTATACTATGAGTACTACTGCGTAGATATCCTCTGAGTCTGAAGATTGTTTTGCCTTCCTCTTTAGCAAATCCTTCATACATAAGACATTGGATGAGCAACATCCAACTAAATAAAAATCAAACAGAATTTCTTGTAAAAATACCTTTCGTTTGAGTTCATATTGAGTTCGCAGAGAGGTTTTGATAAGACTAGAAAAATCTTAAAAGGATTCGTATCCATAGGTCTCATAATTCTGGGAATATCTTGAAAATTTCTATTGAAAAGAATCTTTCTTTGTCGAGATATTGAATTTCCAAAAAATCAAGTTTACATGAAAATTCAGTATTTCGACAAAGAAATATTCTTTTCGATTAAAACTTTTAGGATATTTCTAGAGTTATCAAATCTATCTATAGATACAATTTCAGATCGAAATATCGTCAGTCATAACTCGACTTCAAAGTCCATGGACACGAATCCTTTTAAGATTTTTCGAATCTTACTGAGACCTCTTTGTGAATTCACTACGAGCTCAAACGGTGGCAATCAATTCAGGTAATTCTCTCGTAATCAAATTTCCAAGTAGAAAGACATTAGATAGTAAATGAATCGAAATATGGTAGTAAGAAATCTCAAACGTATATCTACTTCTATACAAATAACTTGATACGACGATAGAGTAAGCTCTTGGTATTGTTTTATGAGAACTTCTCTTCTCTAAACTTCTCTTGTCTTGACAAACGCTCTTATTCACAAAAATTTTTCTTTCCATGTATGTATATTGAATTTAATTGGTTAAAAAAACAAAAAAAAAAAAGATATTTTTGTTTTTGAAATTGATTGGTCAAACAACTTTTTTTTTTCTTTCTCTATACAATTGATAATGATGTTGACGGTCGAGAATGGTGAGACCAAATCATAACACTTATCAAACAAGCGAAACGCACAGACATAAAAACGAATATGAAGATTGCATCTTTCATTAGTTTTTGTCGGCGACATGCGAGAAAATTGAAAATGAGTATGTTTCTACTGCTCTATCATTTCGTCAGGTAAATTGTCTTTTTCTTTATATTTAATATGCGTGAAATTCACATTTCACACTTTAAATATAAAAGGAAAAAGACGATCGTTCTATATAGAGATTGTCAACTATCACGTTAGATGTTTCATTTGTTTTTTTAAGATTTTTTTCCCATAAATATTTCTACCATCGAGTGATATAGAAGTCAGTTTGAACAAGTAAATAATAGTCGGAAAACGTGAAAAGATCAACAAATTATTTATTGGTGTGTGTGTGTCATGCTGTCAAGTTCAACTAGCATAACTACCGATATAACAAATGAGGTCATTAATGCATCTATACCGGTTTCTCATTCATCATCAACCAAAATATATTATCCAAATTCTTTGACTTATGAAGGTAAAATAAAAATAATATCTTAAAATATTTGAAGATTTATATAAGGACAAGGTCGTATAAATCAATTGGGTGGCGTATTTATTAACGGACGTCCATTGCCTAATCATCTTCGTATGACAATTATTGATATGGCTAATCAAGGTATTCGACCTTGTGTTATAAGTCGACAGGTATTAATCAAATTTCTTTATCGATTTGTAATTTCATTTTTGTTTTGTTTTTTTATTTATAAAGTTACGTGTATCACATGGATGTGTATCAAAAATTTTATCACGTTTTGCTGAAACAGGTTCAATTGAACCTGGTTCAATTATTAATAATTCAAAATCGAACAATCTTTCAGCTGATATTGAACAAAAAATTAATGAATATAAAAATATATATTCAAATAGTCCAAAATTTGTTTCAGAAATACGTGAACGATTAATTCGTGATGGTATTTGTAAACCAACATCATTACCAAGTTTAAATACATTAACAAGATTATTATATAATGATGATTATGATTATGATAAGAATCATGATGAAGAATTAAATAATGAAAAAAAATCAACAGATAAAATAATAAAAAATCGTCGATATCGAACTACATTTAATCAAGATCAAATTGATGAATTAGAACAAATTTTTCAAGAAACACATTATCCTGATGTTCAAATAAGAGAAAAATTATCAAAACATACAGGATTAACTGAAGCACGTATTCAGGTATTCAAAAATAAGTATATGTTTTTCTTTTTTCTTCTGACAATAAATTTATTCAATATAAAGGTATGGTTTTCAAATCGTCGCGCTCGTTGGCGAAAAATAGCTGCTGCACATCAACAACAATTACCAGCTAGTACTAATTCATTAGTATTTCCTAATAGACCTATTGCAACAAGTAGTGTACCGATTCCAGAACCATCAATATCATCTTCTTACTTTCATTTTAATCCATATTGTTTATCTACTATTGAAAAATCATCATCAACTATGGATTCAAGATTTCATCCATCAAATGAATGTACGAGTAGTACGAATATAAATAATTCTACTAATTTATTTGTTAATCAACAATCATCGTTTTATACCCGGTATAATAATAATGGTTGGTCAATTGAGATATTTTTCTTTTTGATTAATTATTATAAATGTTTGTTTTTTTTTTTCGTTTGGTTTTTAAATATTTAGATTACGAACAAATCTATCGATCAACAGCAACATTTCCATATACATCTTCGAATGTATCTGGATCAATTTTTTCATCATCAACTTCAACTTCACCACCATCGTTTTATACACCGAATATATTTGACGTTCATAATGTTTATCTATAAACTTTGTTAATTAATCATGAAGATTTTATTTCATCTGGTGATCTATATTGAATAGGACTGATTTTTTTTTCTTGCTTATTTTCTGAGTCATTTAAAGAAAAATTTGAAGATTCTTGTAAAAGTTACACATAATACATTTTCTTTTTGAAATTAACATATCATATGATGAGAAATAAGCAATAGATCTATCTGTTAGTGTCATCTATTGCATATTGAATTGAATGAATTGTTCGTAGTTGAAAATTTAAAACAATCTATTCAATACAATCAAATGAGATACGTGCAACATTGACGGAAAAAATAACTTCGAAAAATTCCGTTGGATCGAAAAAGATATTGTCGAAAACTAGTATCATCTGTTAATTCAGCATTTCTTTGACTAAATGACTTTCGTCAAGTTACATAAAGTACTAACTTTGTCTTTTAGTTAATATTTTTCCGTATATCTTTAACAGAATTCGAAACGAACTAAAGTTGTAAAGTTTTAATTTCTGACTCTTCTATATTTGATAAATATTATGTAAGTTATTTCTATTTAAGTCATATTGAAAAATATGGCCACAATCGATAAAAGTCTGTATATTATATTTCACAATCATACATTGTTTCTTCTGCAAATGATCTTTATTTCTGATAGTAATAAATGGAATAGATGTTAAATTTATTTTTTACAATTACAAAACAAAACTTGCAATCATTATTAGCTCGATAATATATGAATCTAACTTTATTTTATTGGTAGAAGAAGAAACATATTTTCTGAAAAACATGCACACACACACACTTCTACATATACTTTACGAGAGTAAAAGAAATAAAAGAAAACAAATATTCACAATAATGAAAGAGAGATAGGTAATTGAGTGTTAGTATGATGTAATATTACCATTAACGAGCTGTCTTTTTGCTATAAAAGATCATATAATTAGATGGCATTCGAGTTTCACGTGACTGCGAAATGCTGCAGTGCGAACGTTCGAATGCCGAAAACATCGATATGTTCTAAAAGACGAATAATCGTTTCTACGATTCAATATGAAACACTCTTCTCCAAAAGATATATTACTTAGACCACTCTATTCATAAGTATCAATATGTTTTTTTTAAATAGATTCTATCGATTGATCCTCTCTCTGATTCATTATATGTAATTCGCTGTATTCACAGCTGTGTTAGCTATACGCAAAGAGAGTGACGACTAACTTTTGTTACTGTCTTCATTTTAATTATCTTGAAGCTTGAAAAAAAAAACAAAGTTCATAAAATGTAGGGGATTGTTATGAGGCCAAATCAACCGCCTCATAAAATCCAATTTTATCTTACCCGTTTTGTCATTTTGAACGTCAGAAGTCTTTAACTAATAAAATCAAGCGTTTTTATATGTTCGATACTGTATACAAAGTGAGTGGGCTAACCCAGATTTATCTGTATATTATGTCCTCAGAAAGACTAGAATATAGTGTGTTCATGGAAAATACTCTACTCATTTGCTCATATATTCAGTAGATCAACATATAAAATGATGCTCTTTGAATTTTCTATTGCATAGTTGTATGAACATTCTGAGGAAAAATTACTCTTTGTCTTTCATTACATAAGAATATGATTTATGTCACATACTACCAATGAACTCCCATGACGAATATCATTTAGTGTTCTTCTCTATTGGTAGCAGTCTACTTTGGATTTCATATCAATCTCGATAGGATTTGATCAAGATCTATCAACTAATGCTAAAAAACTCACAGAAAAGTGGGAGAGTTTGTCTCATTTTTGCAGTACTCAATACAGTTCTATATTGAGTATCGTGGGTGTGAGTGTGTGATATCTCGTTATCTACACTCACACCCTATCGCTTTCTTTTTCTGAGATTAATATCGATTTTATCAAAACAAAATAATTATTATTTTGATGAAATTCTATAAGAAAAATTCTTTATTAGTACAATCTACAAAACAACTACAATCGGGTTTTTTATATTGACAAAAACACGGATCGAAAAAAACAACAGACAAACAATTATACACAAATAGTATTAAACAAAGAATGCACTAATAAATAAATAATATATACATATACATATATATATATATATATATATATATATATGCAGATGAACAGACTAAAAACGTGGATACATCTGTTGTTGTTGTTGTTGCTGCTGCTGCTGCTGTTGTTGTTGATTTGGATTTCTCTAAATTAACAGAATTAAAATATCAAACATGAAGTAGTTGCTCATCAAAGATAGATTATTTTATTCTATCTATTTTGGGGTA